TGGTGAAAAGATTATGAATGTCACTGTGTATGTTTGTTTGGGCCTGATAATTCTGTCTACAGATTAATAGGCACACTGAGCCTGTCACCTATTTCATTTGATAAAAATCAGCATCAAAATGAACTCACCCAAACAGAAGTGAAAGAAAGTGAAAAAAAAAAAAAGGCAATGTGTTTCATACTCTTAATGTAGTACCTGGAAGACAAAAATATATATTTTTAGAGGTCTCTTCAAATAACATTAATAATTTTATTTATTCAGTTGTTTCTATATTATTAATTCAGAACATGGAGGTAGCCATAACCAGTCATCATTAAGTGAAAAGATAAAAATACACGGGTCATGAAAGAGAAGCAGCATAGGTCCATTCGCCTCAATATTGTACCAATCCCCTGTATCCAATTCCCCTCCTATCCTTGGAGAGCACAGCAATTGGTTTGGGCCCTCATTAGAATGTATTTTTCTTCACCCCAATAAAATCAGCTGAACTCTTCATTTACACACCCCTTGAAAAAACAATAACAACTTCAGATAAAATCATTCCTCACACTTTTATAACTAGTTTGAGGTCTGGGTACAGAAAGGGAAAAAATTATCAGTGTTAAATATTGTAAGACTTCTGTAGTTTTACATGAAACATCAGAAAGAAGGACCCCTACACAAGACCATTCTCATGGTTTTCATTATCACATAGAGTTAATCAAAAACAGTTCATCTCCAGGCACCTGGGATGAAAGTATTAAAAAGGAATAAAGTATCTTCATCACTCGGATACTGATTATTAAAACCCAAAGCCAAGCCAACTTTTTCAAATCTTTTTCTGAAATATGTTTTCCTAAATACCACCCAATTCAGGATTGTTGATAATTTATGTATTATACATTATCAAACCTACAATATAGTGTATCAATACCAAACTGACAAGTACCTGTCTCCACCATGTACTCTGAACACATGAGGAGTTTTAAATATATACCTGCATATTTTAGTGACTGATGCATTTATTTTATCATGAAGCAACATATTAAGAAAATGCAGTGCTATTGTTTAAAAACACCAAGAGCTAAACACTAAATACAGTTTGCAATCCAGATGGTAAATTCTCAAAGCATACGACTGGAAGAGGAAAAATTTTTAGAGTTGTTTAGGTTTTTTCAGTCATGCAGCTTTTTAGCTTGCTTTTACCTTTCAGCACTAGCAAGAATTTTACTGCCATGAAAGCAATTAGTATAGCTAGGAAACAGGATTTGTTACAGGACCTCTGCTTTTTTAAAAACTTCTTTATTCCTGCTGAAATGGCCTGGCTATTTAAGTTCTTGTGTTGCACTAATTAATAATGAATAGAGCACATTAGAGTCACTTTATTTACCCAACTTCCTATTGCATGCAAGCTAATACACACATGTATTATTTACATGTAGTATACATCCTTCTGCTATCTAAATTTTGCAGGATGAGGAATAAACAGAAAACTAATTTTCAAAGTCTGTTTATGCGTTATGTGTAACTGATAAAACAACTGGTTCGAGTATAGACAAATATCAAGAAAAAATGCAATTTCCTTAATTAAAACATTAGACATCTAACTATGCCAAATCATATTGTAATCAAATAAACCCAGAACTTATTATTAAAGACAAGCACTTCAATTGCAGAATTTCAAATAACTTAATTGTATATGGAAAATGTGGCTTGAAAATATAAACATAATTAAGACAATTTGTTTTAGCCTTTTTGGTCGGCCTACTTAGAAGGATAAAAGTCTTGGGTGTATTTGAGATTAGATATTAATTTGTTGCTCTTTGTTACAATAAACCATTAAGTGTTCTTGATTGTTCTTGTTCAATAAACAACACTGTCTTCCTTCTGGCTTTTTGGGTTTTTTTGTATGTAGGATAAAATGCCTTGAGAAGTTGCCAAAATCTGCAGTAGTCATGAGATATTTGATACAGTGTCCACTCCAGGAACTCATTGACCACATATTCTACCTATTTATTCTAAACTCCTAAAATGAAGCAGCAGTCTCAATAATTACAAACATCATCTATTGACTTTTCTTGACCCAGGTTTCATATTAACAGAGTGTAAATTAGATAACAGTTATTAGGGCTACAAAAACAACATTGGGATGAGCCTGGTAGTGACATGTCAATAAGGATGCTGTGTTGTTTAGGTCTGGGACTTATCTGGGTTTTCAATCAGGCGCAGCAGACTTGAGCTATGGGTTCTTGTGGGCAACCATTGTGGTTTTACTTGTTTGTTTGATTTGTGTTTTGTTTTGGTTTTGTCCTTATTTGATTATCAAGGCACACATGAAAACATTCCTCTCAAGACTAAAACCCTAAAAGCAAGCCATTCTTTAGCTGGTGAAATTCAAATCTCATTTTATTATGTTGTCAATGAGCTGCTGAGACTTTGCCTTGGCTTGTTAACATGATAGCAGACAGATGAGAAGAAATAAAAAGTACTGGCCTGTGAAAGCCAAATCAAAGAGCCAGATTGAGGGGCTTCTCAAGTTACTCAGGTGAGGCCCTAAGTGCTTAGCTAGTGACCCAGCTAATGGTCAGAATGAAGGTTCCGTTTGGAGGATCCCAATGTTAAAACACGGTATTCAAATGTCTGCATAAATGGCTGAGAATTTGCCTTTTCTTTGAAAGCTCACTATACAATAAACAAAAGACTGGTATTTGATACTAACCAAACATAGAGAAGGAGCAGACAGTAACAATGGATGAATGTATTCAAGACATGATTCTTTATGTGTCCCTGGAAGAACTTTGGGGTCTGACATTTTTCTATTGCTCATTTTTAATTGTCTTTGGTGTAAACCCATTTGCCATTTACTAGAAAACATATTTATTTACATAAACACCTAACAATATAAGTTACATGGAAATAGAATAATGCTTTCACACAGTAAATTGTCAGAGAGAGAGAGAGAGAGAGAGAGAGAGAGGAGAGAGAGTTTTATTTATTTTTTTAAATGACTAGGATTTAGGAGAGTTCTTGACAATACTCTGAAAACATATTTTATGTGTTGTAAAACAAAACTGGCGTCGTATCTAAGAGCAGTGAATTCTACAAACTGATATGTCTTTTCTTTCTTTTAGAATGGTTGCATACTAGACATTAAAGCTTTATTTCCAACTGTCAATGATGTCCTTAGTTTTTAAATTATGAATCCCAACTTGTGTGTTCTTACAGCTCTTTTGTTCTGTTTTACATACAACTTTACAGTTTTCTTTACTTGAAATATTTTAACATTCAAAGGCAAGTTTACCCTGAAAGTTCATGATAATCAATATCTAATAATCAGATCTCAAGAGTAAATTTTATTTCATATGCCTGTTCAAAACTTTTAGAATATGAAAACCAGCTGTGAAGAACAAAGTCTTGACTAGTAGTGCCATCTAGCATCACAGAGAAAAAGCTGTTCAATTACTGTGCAAGGCATTGGAAAATGTATCAAATCATGAATGTATTATCTCCTTGATCTATTTCCCAGGGGAAAATAAGTAGACTTGATCAGTGATTGGAAATGCACACCAAACTCATATATTCAGGGTTAATAGATTGTATGTTGTCAATTTCAGTGTTTTCTGGAAGAGGTAATTGAGAGCAGTAATAGTGAGGTATAATTTCTGGTTTGCTAATTGTTCTGCCACCATTATTTCCTTTATTTAAGAGAACATACTAGAATTTGAGTGAATAAAAATGGTATTTTATACTGAATTATTGACAATAGAATAAAAGCAAGTCACTCATAGCCTTCACTGTTTTGAGTAACAACTTCTGGCTTCTAATACCTGATTGAGACCTGCAAGTGTTTTGGGTAATAAATATACATACCTTGAGATTTAATATTATGCTAACAAAGATGTCACAGATTCAACCAAGTATGGAACTAAGGACAGTTACTTCAATCATCTCTGTGAAGATGCTTCTTATTAATGATAACCAAAAAATAATAAGAGAGTAGATGACTCATGGCAGATCTATTTCTTTCTCAATTCAGATGGGCTCAGCTGGAGATATTATGGAATGTAAGTGGTTTTCTTGGTAAGGGAAGAAACCCTGGAACATAGGTCACACTCCAGGGCTTGCTTCTCTGGGATTGGCTCAGCCCCAAAATTAAAATGTGGTAAAAGGAAGGTTAACTTGAGCTGGTTTTAAACCAGGGTCCAGGCATGCAATGTCTAGTGAGTAGGACTCCAAAGGCAAACAGATTGTTCAGCAATAGGTAGATTTTTAAGGCCTCAAACAATTAGGATTAGTTTTAACATTAATATATTTCATAAAACGAAGTGTGAATCTAGTAACAGTATGTCTGAAGATAAGAGATAGCTAGCGTACCAGACATAAATATGTAGTAAAAGTAATCTTAGACACTTTCCTCCGAAGTGGCAAGACGGCGTAATCATTAGAAGCACAATTTTGGAGGCTTCCTGCCTTACCATGTACTAGCTATGTGATGTCTTCTATGTTAGACATTTTGTCAATTTTCTTGTATAATGGAAAATATAGGTTTAACATTCTGACCTAACACAAGATAATCATGAAGACTGATTGAAAAACACTAGTCAGCATTCCTGTTACATAATTATCCAAAGAAAATTGTTATTTTTTATTTTATTATTGCTATTTTCTTCTGAGGTTGAATTTATCTGGATGGCTCTGTCTGTAGATACAGGGTCCTGACAGCTCCAATTTTGCATGACCAGGGATCCTGCTGCCCACTACTAATATGCAAACACATAATTCCTGTCCTAATGAAACTGAATACATAACACTGATACAATAGGAACATAGGAGTATTTGTCCTTGATTCACAAAGTGATAATATTATAGTACAGATTTGCATGTGATATTCATATATATTAACAAATTAAAATGTAATTGATCTGTTTTTTTTCTTTTTTCAAATTTTAGATTCAGCTTATACCAGATATCAACAATCTACTGTTGTGAATAATGTTTGTCACTAGTTATCATTTCCCCTCTAAAATACAGGTGTTGATGTACAAAAAATTTAATTCTTCAAAAATCTGTAAATTAGTCTTAAATAAAAATTATCACTGTTATGACACCTATCCCTCTGTCCTTTTTAAGGCCCACCAGACTCTGAGTTACAGATTATTGCAGTGAAACTTGGTGAAGTTGCACAGAGGAAGCTTCATTTTTCAACCTACAAGTGGGAACACAGGCGCTGCAGCATCATGGAAGAGAGAAGATTTTTTTTCTAGAATAGTCCCCACACCTCAGTTAACTTCTTTTGCTTCCACAGTCGACTTTGGTCCTCTTCTCTAGATGTTCAGGCATCTAATATAAATTAATAAAAACACTAGGTTAAAAACTGGATTATTTCTGATTTATTACAGAAACAAATCTGATTTTAAGTGGCCAAAATAAGGAATTTTGTAGACTCTGGGTAATTTTTTATTGTTTTTCTAGGAACTCAATTTATACTGAAGGAGAGTGACCAATGCAAGTCTTAAGCCCTTCAAAATGGGAAGGAAAGACACTGAATTATATACCCCCAGCAGAGATTCCAGAGCATGAGAAACCCCATCCCAGCTCTGCCCTTCTGCTATATTAATTATGTGAACATAAGTATCAGTAAAATGCATTTTACCTCAATAATAAGAGTCATTTGAAATGTGGGATTGTTTTTCCTGAGCCCTACCGGACCAGTATGAGGTTAAATATTTATACCTATAAGTAATAGCATTGAAAGCTGATGTTCTTAGCCCATGAAAGCCCACCTGCTTTCTACTTCTCTCTTTTCCTACTCCTCCACTGATGGAAAAAAAAAAAAAAAGGATAAACTAGATGCAGCAGTGCACACTTGTAATCATAATTACTCAGGAGGTTGAGGCAAAGGGATCACAAATTCAAGGCCAGATTAGACAACTCATTGAGACCTTATCTCTAAATAAGAATTTACTTGCCACTTTAACTGTATTTTTTAAAGATAGATTTTGAGCTTCATAATAACTAAAGATGCCATCAAATCATAGTTTCTGATGGAGTCTATTTTGCTTTCTTGGAATATTTCCTAATTATATTTTACCATAGTACACATATTAACATCTAGTTCAATTTATAAGTCATATACTTTACTTTGGTCCCAAATAGTGACAAATGGTCCATTTACTATATAATATTATGAAACTTCTAGTTTTACCTTTCTGGTGTCCCATATTTTTGCCCATTGTAGAGAAACATTGGTCCATTAATCATAGATGCAGATGGTGTCCATCTGGTATCCATCTTTAACTCTAGAAATGGAGGCATAAGGATACTCTGAAACATTACACTTTCAAAATCAGATGCAATCTAACAGTTCCAAAAAACAAAGTTATTTGATCCACTATGACTTTTTCCTATAGTCTTCATTTTGTATTACAAATAAGTCAAAGGGTTTTTTCCCCCTAAAAAATGACTTGTAATTTTTAAATTCTTACTCCTAGTCAGCTAACAAATATTAAAATAATTATCAATTAATTTTCCAAGTATGGTTTATCTCAGAAATCTGTTGGTAATCACAAACATATGAGACATCTTCTGGAGTTTTATATTTAGTGTATTAGTTCTTTGAATAAGAAAAATTCAAGTCTTTCAGACCTGAATATAATTCAAATTAAAAAATGATATCTTCTGAAAATCTCATCATTCACCATGAGATATATATTTTTTTCCATTTTTTTTCAGGTCACCAACAATCATAATCAATATTTTAATTCTACTGAATTTATGTTTCTGAATGAAAATGTGTCATGACAATGCCCTTCAGAGATACTGTGAAGATATAGAGTATATTAGATACTCTCACTGTAATAAAGTATATTAGGTACTCTCATGCAAATTGCTAAATACAAATATACACCATGCATTTAATAAGAAAAATGTCATTGAACATTTCAAAAAGAAAATGAAAAACACAAATGAATACTTGAAATAAACACTTCCATAAGGACAAAACAAGAAGCAGAATATCAATAGAAATAATAACTTTAGTAAGTTTAATGGTAATGTTTTTGAATAAATATCCACAGGCAATACTCTAGTCTGTTGCCAAAGTAAAACTTTTAAATTGTCAATTTTTTTTATATATGCTTTCCCATGAGTACATACTGGTTTCTATTAATAATATTGCTAAATTTAGATTCTAAATTTGTGTGTCTGTGTGTGTGTGTGTGGTGTGCATTTCAGTTCTTCAAATTTAGAGTGGCTAAGTTGTTTCCATTCCTCAAGAAATGTGTGAAGTCATAATATTTTCTAATCCTATATCATGTGCCTGTCACTGTGTGGTATTGTTACATAGTTTATTTACTTATATTTTCCCTATCTTCATGTTATGATTTAGATCTAAGATGCCCCCACCCAAAAGCTCATGTGGCACCTCCAGAGGTGAGATGATTATTCTGAGAACTATAACCTTATCAGTGGATTAATTCGTTTGATGGATTAATGATTTGAATAGATCACTGGGTGGTAAATACAGGAAGGTGGGAAGTGGCTGGAGAAAGCAGGACACTGGGAGCTTGCCCTTGGGGGTTGTGTTTTGTCCGGGGCTTTGCTCTACTATGCACACACCACCTGATAGACATGTGACAGGTTATGACTGCACATAGAACAGGGAATATATTTTGGTACAGTTTCTTTATTGCAATTATTTTAGTATGCCAATGACATACCTCTAACTGTAGAGTGGTGTTAGAAGTATAGTTGATGATCTTCAGATGGGTAGGCCTCCTCTTCCCAGGAACCTTTATGTGAAGGCTGGATCACCATCTGTCAACGATGGCTTAGGAAAGGAGATAGGGCTACATGTCCTGAAAGATCCCTTGCTACACTAAAATGTTCTGCAAAGTCAAGCTAGTCAGCACAGGTTACATATGATTTTAGATATGTTTTTAAAAGGCAAGTTTAGTTAATATCATAAACAACATTGTAAAAGATTTTCCAAACAGTTTAAAAGAAGCTGTTATTTTTAAAACCATAAGCTCATTAATTGTAAGCAAATGTACACGGCTTATAAATCAATTTTATCTGTTCCCTAAAGCAGGTTTTATTTATGTTTAGTAAGAGTTAGCGAATGGTACCTGTTTTGTGAACAAGAAAAACAACAGCCTACTGGATGGAGAGCTTTGTGCAGAATCTTCAGATTTTTTTCAAACTTTCAACTAATTCAGCTGCCTCTCTCCCTAAATCAGTTAGTAAAGAGTTCGTGGGAGAAAAAAACAAAAAAAAAAGAAATCACTTTCATGGTGCATCTACTCAACAGGTTTTCATCTTTCATCAGAAAACCACTTAATGATGTTTAGGCTATTTCCACCTGTTAGTCCCGCTAGCCCTTTCCTTCTCAGAGCTGAAAAAAAATGACAATATTGAAGGCCCAATAGTCTGAAGTGGCTAAATCCATGTTGAGGGAGTTTTACCATCTGTTAGGTCTCTCCATTCCATAATCACAGTGTGTTTAGGGAAAGAAAGTGTGTGTGTGTGTGTGTGTGTGTGTGTGTGTGTGTGTTCTCAAAAGGAAAAAAAAAAGAATGAACTTTCAAATAAAATGCCCTTCAGAAACAAATTTACCCACTTGAGGTTTGCCACTGCCTGGGGCGACTAAAAACCCAAACAGGATGTTTTTCTAAATGAAGTGGCTGGTTTACCTTACTTTCTCATTATAAAGAACAACCACCCACCTGGGGGGTCACTGTTTTGCTCTGGAGGAAGAGCAATTAAGATTCAATTTAGGTCACTTAACTCTCCAAGTTTAAAAGTCCTTCAAAAAACCTAATAGTTCTCAGGGATCTCTGAAAATTGTTATGTACCATTTCTGATGTTTTTCCATGTCCTTCACAATTGCCTTCACTCCCCAAATTGACTGTATTATTTTGTCTTCTTAAAAATAATTTAGTGGCAGCGTTTCATTTAAGATTGATTCCTTACACTGTTTCTTCAGAAGTTTCTAGCAAAAAAAGTATCTACGGAACTTATTACAGCCTTCTCCCAGGGAGATGTTACTGTCTTCACTTTATAGAAGAAAAAATAAATAAACAAATGAACAAAATACATGTAGAGTAGTTAACATGACCAAAGTCACAAAGCCAATTACAGCACCATATACCCTTTCTGGCAAAAGACTGTGGTAACACTGTGTAGAGACTCAGAAAAAAAACATTCAAAGTATGACACTTGACATGCCAGTACTTTGAAACTAAAGGTCAGGTTTCTAATCCCCTATTCCTGGTCCATCCTTTTTCGATACTAAACACAGGGAGGAATTTTCTCTGTATTCCCCTTTTTCTAAGAAAAGTTCTCTGGGAGAAATGCAATTGTCTTGAGCTGCCTCCCCATAATTTCACTGAACAGAGAAGATGAACTCAGAGATGAGACTCAAAATCAAACATTACACCCTTAACCCTGGAGAACTTTGTCCCAGACCATTGTCCATTCTTGGGGCTTATTCATCTCCCCTGAAAATCATTTTCTAAATTTTTTTTACAGCATCCACTCTCCTCATTTGTGTAAAAGGGTGTATAAACTTCTAAATCTCATTGTGGTTTTTTAGTACTAGCAATGAATTGCTTAGTGTTTCACTTGTTAGTCGATCTATTGTCAGTTAGTTTGTTTTATCAGACTCAATTACCAAACCTTTAGAGGGCAGAAAAGAAAAGACCTTAAGATTGAGGCTATAGTTATGAAGCAGAATTCAGGATGTTTTGAGATGGGAAAGTGCATGATTTTATCTGCCTTTGTAATTTTTACTTATATTATTAAGTAAATAATATACTATTACTTATATGTTACTTGATTTTCATTATACAAGAATTCTAGCTTTTGTAAATATTAACAAGAGTTGACTATAGCATGGAGAGGTCAGCAAATATAGCTTGCAAAGTACTGCTAAAGCTTTAGTTCCTGGAGCAGAATTCTGACTCCTTCCTGCCCGAAATGCTGCCATCTCCTCAGCTCAGCTCAGTCTACAAAAGTGGTAGTTTTAACATAATGAGTTTGACCACAAAGATCAGCAGAAAGCTGCCAGATGGACAGACTCAGGGGTAAGGTGGGAGTGCAGAGGTGAATTCCATAGCACACAAACCAGGGAACCCAAATCTTTGCTAGCTTGCAGCTGCCATCTAATTAGGGTCAGTGGTAGACTAGCCAAAAATTTAACCAGAGATCCTGTAGTGGACTAAATAAACTTTGCCTGATCAGAAAGCTATGAACATATACAAGGAGATTTGTAGTAGCCTTGTAGAAAGTAAAAACCAAAACAGAGATCAGAATTGACTGAACACTGACTGTGCCTCTTCATACACAGATCTATCAGTAGAGTTTATACTCTATGGATTTGAAATGTTAGAGCACAGCCTGTTACAAAACATTGGATTATGCAGATATCAGGGTGACCCTTAGGAATTTAAGCTAAAAATAAAAAATAAAAATGGAAACCTGACAGGCACATCAACAGCCACATACCCACATACTATAAGATTCTACAGTATAATAACTCTAGGTAACTTTTTGAAATGACAGCAACAAAAACTCAGATATGATATTATGGTTGTTACAAAATATTGCTATGGTTTGGATCTGGAATGGCCCCTAAGGCCCATGTGGTCAGAGTTTCATGCCCTGCTTTGTGCCATTGAGAAATGGTAGAAACTTTAAGAGATGGGAACTTATGAGTGTTTTTAGGTCACTGAGGTTTTCTCTTGAAGGGAATTATCAGATTTCATTCCTCCCCACAGATACCCCTTCACTCTCTCTGTCTCCTTTGTTCCTAGAAATGAAGAGAACACTTTGTTTCCACACGTAATCCCCACCATAATGTGCTATCTTGCCACAAGCCCAAAACAATGGGGCCAATCATTCAGGGACAGAAACCACTGAAACTATGAGCCAAATAAACCTTTCCTCTTTATGAATTGATTATCTCAGACATTTTGTTACAGTAATAGAACACTGATTAACATACGTATTATGAAAAATGTATGTTTTTCACCAGACTGTAAAGATATATATGGGAACAGGAAAAGTGTAAATCATACTTAGAAACAGTCAACTTCTATGGGCCCAGATGTTAAAATTAGCAGGCATTTCAGTGCAGTTATTATAAATGCATACAAACAATTAAAAGAAACTATGGTCACAGATGTTAAGAAAAATGTGATTCAACAGATAGAGATCTCAGTTAATAAGAGTATAACTTCTAGAGTGGAAAAGTATAATGCTATGCTTTTGATGTAATTTGAGCATGTCCTGCCAAAGTTCATGTGCTAGAAGCTTTGTCCCCAGTATGACAATGTTGGGGGATGAAGGAACTTTCAAGAGGTAGGGCCAGTGGAAAGTGGTTAGGGCATTGAGAGTGTTGTCCTCTGGAATAATGAATGTAGCTCTCACAGGACCCGAGTTAGTTCTCACAGGGTGAGTTGTTATAAAAACAGTGAGCTTAGTTCCTGAATCCTTCTGGCTTGCAGTTTCACCATGTGATCTCTTCCATATATGCTTCTGTCATTGTGATGCCACCTGCCTGAGACCATCAACAAAGGACAAACAGATAGGGCCATATCATCTTTGTCTTTCAAAATCCCAAATTGCAAACTAAATAAACCTCTTTTGAGTGTGTGTGTGTGTGTGTGTGTGTGTTTACTGTTGTTGTAATTTGTTTGTTTGTTGTGCTGGGGATTGAACTCAAGGCCTCTGCATAAAAGGCAAGCATTCTGCCACCCAGAATACCCCTGGACCCCACCTCTTTTCTTTATAAATTACCCAGACTTGAGTATTGTGTTAGAGCAAGAAAAAATGAACTAAACATGTAATGGTAAAAATAAGCAACTTGGGCTAGAGATATAGCTTAGTTGGTAGAGTGCTTGCCTTGAATTCACAAGGCCTTGGGTTGAATCCCCAGCATCAAAAATAAATAAGTAAGTAAGTAAATAAATAAACAAATAAATAAACAACTCACATTATGGGATTAAGAATATATTTGAGGTGGCAGAAGAAAGAATAGATGAAACTAAAGACAGATCAGTGGATTTACTCAATCTGTTATAGAGAGAAAACTAAAGACAGAACATTAAAAAACTACAAAACAGTATCAAATTACTGATATATGCTTATTTTGAATCTCAGAAATAAAGGACTATAACACAGTTAATACCTGACTTTACATTAAAAGCAATAGATGCCAGAAAGCAAGAAAATAGAAACTGCCAACCAAGAATTTTATAT